TTTAAATTCCTCTCTCTCTTCTATTTCATTGTTCGCAAACAGAAAAGCTATGTATTTCTGGGCTTTGATTTTGTACCGTGACTTTTCTGGTCTAATATTTTTGGAGCTTTTGTGGTAGAATCTTTCTGGTTTTCTACATATAGTGTCACATCATCCACAAACACTGAGTGTTTGATTTTTCCTCTGTCACCTTTTCATTAAAGTATGCGTAATGTTCATGAATTCCCTCCAGAGTGTTCGCAGCTGTTCTGGACACTTCCTTTCTGAGCACTGTCTAGGCCCGAACCAGTTCCAGCCCCACAGCCAGACCACCCTGACCGAGCTTTCAGGACTGAGGGCCCAGGCAAACACCCAGCCCCCACACCTCTGATTTGCTTCTCATGACATGCAGAGCAGAGGGAAACACATTCATTTAGGAAGCCACAAGCTTGCTCTAGAATCATCTCTGTAACCAGGTTTTCTAAAAAACAGCACCTTGGGCCTGGAGAGATAAAGTACAGCTGGGAAGGCCATCTCACTTTGGTCAATCTGGTTGGGTCCCCGGCACCACAGAGGGGACCCCAAGTCCTGCCGCGAGTGATCCCAGAGTGAGCCCTGAGCACCACCAGGTGTGGCTCAGAAACAAAAACAACCTGAACCCAGGGCTGAGGGTACAGACTGGGAAGAGAGAACCTACAGGCCAGAGGGAGGCTGAGTGTGGCCCAGCTGCTGCGGAATCTGGGGCCTCTCTCCCCACAACCCCCGCCATCACCACCAGGCGTGTGGTCCTGAGTAAACAGCATGGCCAAGTATGTGAGGCCTCCAGTCACCGCAGAAGCCGTAACAGGAAAAGCAAGGGAAAGAGGGGAGGTTTTTTCAGGAAAATGAGAGGCCTGAAGCTGCAGCTTCAGCTCAGAGACAGGATCCGCAGCGCCCAAAGAAAAAAAGAACAAAATACCAATAATAAAATATTTACCGTGATTTCTCCCTTCTTTCCATTCTTCCTCTTTTAAAAAATTGTTTTCACTCTATCTTAATATCATTTATTGATTCCACATCGAGGCCCAATGGAACCACAAAAGGAAAATTATGTTTTAATTTAAAAAAAATAATTTGAATGTTATTTATTTTGGTTTAGGAACCATACCCAGTGGTGTTCAGCGCTCACTCCTGGCTCTGTGCTAAGGAGTCACTCCTGGCAGAGCTCAGGGGACCAGATGAGATGCCTGGGTATTGAACCCAGGTTGGGCAAGTGACAAAAGAAAAATTATTTTTAAAGGATTTCATGGGTCTCAGGGGTGGCACTTGAGCATCAAACACCTGCCATCAAGCATGAGGACCCAAGCTCGGTCCCCCAAGTGCCTGTGGTTCCCAAGCCAAGCCAAGCCAATCCAGGTGTCGGCTCAGTGCAGTGTTGAAGGAGAGTCCCTCAAAAGAGGGGGTGTGATGCCTGGCTGCGAAACAGATGTGCAAGTGACAAGACAAAGGCCCCAGGCCAGCACCACCCTGCGGAGAGCACCACAGGCCTGAGCTGCAGCCCAATGAGCAGGACTCAAAGGAGCAGACACAGCGAGGCCACGGCGGCCACAGGGAGGGAGGGAAGGGGGAATAAAAAGTCTTCTTAATGTTTTGAGGGCCACAGTACAGAGAGTAGGGCATATGCTTTGCATATGCAGACCTGGGTTCGATCGCATATGGTCCCCTGAGCATCCCCAGGAGTGATCCCTGAGTAAAGAGTCAGGAATAAATCCTGAGCATCCCTGGGTGTGGTTCAAGAACCAAAAAAAGAAAACAGAAAAAAAAATGTTTTGATAGCATCTTCTGAAAACAACCGTTCGGGGCTGAGAAACTAAGAAATGTTGCTGCAAACTGCAGTGCATGCAGACCTCAGGGCTGACTCCCAGCTCCACGTGGCTCTCTGACCACTGGCCTGGGTGGCCCCAAGTGGCCCCAAGCAGTGCTGAGCCAAGTGTTGCACAAACACCCACCCCCTCCCACACAGTACACCTCAGTATACCCACCTTAAAAAAAAAAATGGGAGAAGAAAGGGAAATATCACTCATGGGCTGAAGCTATAGTATAGCAGGCTAGCACCTGCCATATGCCAGGCCCAGGTTCCATACCCAATACACGTGATCCCCCAAGCCTTGCTAAGAGTGAAGCCCAAGCACAGAGTCAGGTGTAAGCCCTGAGCCTTGCCGGGTCCCCAAAACAAGCAAAACTACATATAGTTCATTGTGGAGACCTCACAAAACATACAGGCTTCAATCTTCAGAAGCATTCAAAAGCAGCAATGTTTAATGCTGATTGTGTTTAAGAGTCTGGGCTGGAGCGATAGCACAGTGGTAGGGTGTTTGCCTTACAAGCGGCCGACCCGAGTGCGATTCCTCCGCCCCTCTCAGAGAGCCCGGCAAGCTACCAACAGTATCTCGCCCGCACGGTAGAGCCTGGCAAGCTCCCCGTGACGTATTCGATATGCCAAACACAATAACAAGTCTCATGATGGAGACATTACTGGGCCCACTCGAGCAAATCGATGAACAACAGGAGGACCGTGATCCGTGATCCGTGTTTAAGAGTCTATTGTAAGCCAAAGGCCAGGGAAATCTTGGACAATTATAATCTGTTATCAAAGAGCCCCACGCTACTCTATTCAGAGAAGAAGGTAAGGAAAGTCCAAGGAAGCTGATAAAATCTGGATGGGGACTTCCCTGAAAGACCTCCCATACTGGCCTGGGAAAGTCAAGTGTACCTAAATCTTCTTGCAAGAACAAAGTCAGTGGGAGATGAAACAGGTCCCATTACAGGAATGGGGAACCTAAGCAGATGGCCAACAGCAGCAGCAGAAAGAATTCTGGGGAAAAGGTGTGTCCATTTCACAGCCGCCAGAAGCAGCCTTGGTCTGAAGGCCCAGTTAGACAGTCCCGCAATCTTCTGCTTCCCTCCCTGACAAGTCAACCAATTCCAGAGGTCAGGGGCAGTTTTTGTCCAGATGCACCCAGCAAACTGTGTTTCTAGAGGAAAAGAGGTGGCGGGCTCAGTTTCAGGAGTTCCTCTTATGAAAATGGTAACACTTCCACAAAGTCATTTTGATACTGTAAGTCCTGCAGCTCGGCCCTGGGTTGGCAGGGAGAGGGGTGTAGGAGAAATGAAGCAAAGGTGTGTTCTGGAGTCAGCCTGGAGCAGAAGAGAGGCTGACACTGGAGATGCCAAAGGACAGAGGGAGCTGACACGTCCCGGCCTAAGGACAGGCAAGCTCAGCTACAGGAACATCTTCCGGAGTCATGAAAGGCGCGGAGCCCGGAGTCACAAACGTGACAGCCCCCTTCCAGTTCAAATTGCTTATAGGCACATTTTCATCCAAAGCCAACTGTCCGTGACCTCTCTTGTTATACAGTTCTTGACATTAGCTCCTTAGGACCTGTTAGTATCCGAAGGAATTAATCCTTAGGAAGTTTTTATAAAGAAAAGGGCACATGTAGAAACTCTTCACCAGGCTGGAATGGTGGCAGGGCAGGGCACTTGCCTTGCATGTGCCTGACCCTGGTTTGATCCCTAGCACATCACATGGTCCCCGAGCACTGCTGGGTGTGATCCTTGAGTCAGAAGTGAGCCCTGAGCACCACCAGTGATGCCCCAAAACAAAGGAAAAATTAAAGAAAGAAAAAAAGAAAGAAAGGAGAGGGAAGGGAATAAGATATATATATATATATATATATATATATATATTAGGTGTGATAATAATAGTAGAAGAAAATGTCCTAATTTCTTTCTTTTTTTTTTTTTTTTTGCATTTTGGGTCACACCCAGCAATGCTCAGGGGTTACTCCTGGCTCTACACTCAGGAATTACTCCTGGCGATGCTCAGGAGACCATATGGGATGCTGGGAATCGAACCCGGGTCAGCCAAGTGCAAGGCAAATGCCCTACCCACTGTGCTATCGCTTCAGCCCATGTCCTAATTTCTTAACAATGCATGCTTAAGATTTTGGGATGAGAAAATAATTATTACCTGCAATTTGCTCTGAAATGGTCCAGCAAAGATGAACAGAAGGTTGGATTTAAAATAAAACAGAGGGTTTGGAGTGATAGTACAGCGGGTAGGGCGTTTGCCTTGCATGTGGCCCCCCAAAACCCCCCCCAAAAAAAACCCCAAAAATAATAATAATAATAAATAGATAAATAAATAAATAGAACATAAATATGGGCCTAAAGAGCTGGCACCAGCCTATAAGTGTGCAGTCCTGAGTCCTGAATCTGAACAGGGCCCTGCGTGTACCAACCTGATGGCCTTGCTATCTGTGCCCCTAGCACTGCAGTGGCTTCTGGCCACCCACAGCCAGGTGTAGAGGAGCATCACTCAGAGGTGTGACTCCCCAGCTCTGTGGCCACAGGAGTGCAGGCACCGCCCAGCCATGAGTGTGACCTCTGGCAGCACCACAGCTGGGCATGGGTGGTGACAGCCCCGCCCCATGCCAGCCAAGGCACAACCAGCAGCAAGATAAAAAGAGAAAGGAAAAAATGCTGAGTGGATGGGCATGAGTAAGTGGCACGAACACGGCCACACGGATGGCTCTCAGGCTGGGCTGGGACTTGCATGAGCTGAAGTGTTTCTAGGGCTGTCTGGGGCCACGCCAGGTGGAGAGTGTGGCTGTGGGGGTGTGGGTCAGGGAGGCGCTCAGACACCACCCTGAGGAAGGCCCTACTCTGTCCCAAGAGCACAACATCCCAATCAACATGTGCTCCACAGGGCCCATCACAGGCACAGGAAGAGCAGACGCACACAAGCACCCGGCCAGATACACACATGAACAGAACCCCAGAACCTGCCCCCAGAATCAGACACAGATACGCCTCAGGGACCCAGTTCCCAGAGGCACTTACAGAACACACCCCTGACCAGAACATTCCCTCACCCAGACAACAGAGACTAGACCCCTGGCCCCCAGACGCCCACACACACAGAATGAGCCCAGAACCCAGCACTCCCAGCCCAGCCTTTCCAGCAGAGGGCCCTGTACCTCAATTAGCGCCCCCTTCTCCCTGTCTTCCGACTGCTTGGCACTGTCCAGCTCATCGTGCATCTCCGAGAGCTGGTCCTGTAGGTCCCTGATCTCCGTCTGGTGCTGCTCTCGCTCCATCTTCACCTGGAACAGCCTGGAGGAAAAGAGCAGTCAGAGACCTGGGCCCTGGCCGAGACCCTCCGGGCCAGGTGGTCACCCGAGCCCCCACAGCCTCCTGGTGTGGGGCTATAGAAGCTAGCACCCTCCTAGTCAGATACGCAGCCTGGTGCCTTGTAGGGGGCCTCCTACTACTTCCCTCAGTTACCAAGACCCCCAGCCCCTCAGAGGGCTGAAAGATAACAAGACACTCTCTAGCTACAAAGTAATTAAAAACTGTCAACCTTCGTCCAGGGGCCACATCTCATGGTTCTTCTTCCACAGGAGGGAATGAGGGAGCAAAACTTGGCTGGGAGCCACCGCACTGCCCTACCGGGCAGTATTGAAAAGACACAGCAGCCTGAACCATGGTACAGTGAGTAGGGCACTGCCACGCATGTGGCTGACCTGAGTTTGGTCCCTCAAGCCCACCAGGAGTGATCCCTGAGCACAGAGCCAGGAGTCAGCCCTAAGGCCCCTGGGTGTGGCCCACAAACAAAGAAATTTTGGTTTTTTTTTTTTTTTTTACTTTTTGGGTCACACCCGGTGATGCACAGGCGTTACTCCTGGCTCTGCACTCAGGAATCACTCCTGGCGGTGCTCAGGGGACCATATGGGATGCTGGCAATCAAACCTGGGTCGGCCGCGTGCAAGGCAAACACCCTACCTGCTGTGCTATCAGTCCAGCCCCCAAATAAATTTTAAAGAAAAGGAATCAAGTTTAGGCTACACGCAAGCAAGGAAAACCTCTTCAGTAAGTGGTGCTTGGAGAACTGGACAGCTACATGCAAAAAAATGAACTCGGACCTCTAACATCAAGCACAAAAGTCAGATCCAAATGGATTAAAGACCTCAATATCAGATTTGAAGACATAAAGAACATGGAGGAAAATGTAGACAGGACCCTCCGTGATATTGAAGCTAAAGGTATCTTCAAGGATGAAACACCACTGACCAAGCAAATGGAAATATAAACAAGTGGGATTACATGAAATCAAGAAGCTTCACCTCAAAAGAAACAGTGACCAAAATACAGAAAAAGCCCACAGAATGGGAAAAATTATTTACCCAATATCTATCAGATAGGGCTTAATAGCCAGGATATACAAGAGACTGATAGAAGTTTACAAGAAAAAAACTTCCAACCCCATTAAAAAATGAGGAAAAGAAATGAACAGAAACTTCCACAAAAAAGAAATACAAATGGCTCATAAAAAAATGCTCTGCATCACTAATCAATCATCAGGGAGATGCAAATCAAAGCAACAAGGAGATATCAGACACCTTGGAGACTGGCACATATCAAAAAGAATAAGAACAAGCTGTGTTGACACAGATGTAGGGAGAAAGGGACTCTCATTCTTATTAATGGGAATGCCGACTGGTCCAGGCTATTTAGAAAATAATATGGACATTCCTCCAAAAACTAGAAATTGAGCTCCCACGTGACCCAGCAATACCACTGCTGGGAATATATCCTGGGAGTACAAAAAAGGAGAGTAGAAATGATAGCTGCACTTGTATGTTTATTGCAACACTGTTCACAGTCGCCAGAATCTAGAAACAACCCAAGTGCCAGAGAACAGACTTAAAGAAACTTTGGTACATTTACACAATGGAATACTATGCAGCTGTTAGAAAAGATGAAGTTATGGAATTTGCTTATAAGTAGATGTACATGGAGAGCATCATGCTAAGTGAAATTAGTCTGAAAGAGAGGGACAGACAGAATGACTCATTTGTGGAATATAAAATAACATAATATGAGACTAACACCTAAGGACAGTAGAGATAAGAGACAAGCAGAGGATTGCTCTGCAGTTTGGAAGCCTGCCTCATGTGCTGGGGGAGAAGGCAATTGTGATGAAGAAGGGACCTCTAAGTCAATGATGGTTGGAGGGATCACTGTGGACGGAAGATGTGTGTTGAAAGTAGACTAAGGACTAAACATGATGGCCTCTCAGTACTGTATTGCAAACAATAATGCCCCAAAGTAGAGAGAGAGTAAGAGGGAAATTGTCTGCCATAGAGGCAGGAGAAGGGGTGAGATGGGGTGGGGGTGGAGGGCCGGGATGATGCTGGGGACATTGCTGGTGGAAAATGCACACTGGTGGAGGGATGGGTGTTCAATCTTTGCATAGCTGAATGTCAATCATGGAAGCTTTGTAACTGTATCTCACGGTGATTTAATTTTTTAAAAATTTAATAAATACATAAAATGAAAATAGGACAGGAAAAAAAATGTTCAGGTTCCACTGGATAAATGCAGGGTGACAGGCTGGCGCCCAGACTCACTCCTCCAGGTTCTTCCGCAGTTCACCCTCACTTGCTTCCAGGCGTCGCTGCAGAGCCGAGTTCTCCTCCACCTTGCTGGCATGCTTGGTTTGAAGCTCTTCCAAGTTCACTCTCATTCTCTCTCTTTCTTCCTTGAGGTTCTGCTGATTCTAAGAGAAACACATGGGTGAGATTTCAAAGTACCTTCATGAGACACACCCCCAGGAACCCTTGCAAAACCCTCATGAGTCTCGGGTCTTGGCACTAACATTATTAAAATCCCTCGATCACATCAGATCACTAAAAGGCAAAGAAAGGCACAACTGGAAGGAATTCAAATATTTAATGACACGCAATTAGTCTAAAAGGAGATGCAGCTAAACCTCCTCCTGCGCGTTCTCTTACTTGGCCCAGATGTTTTCTACAATTTTATCTTTTTCTATTGGCTGGTCTCTGTTCCATGGCATTCCTTTCTCTCTCCCCAAAGAGCCCTGATAAGCTTCAGCCATTTAAAATAATAAAGTTATCTGCACAGCAGAACTGCAGAGGAAACAATTCACAGACTGGCATCCCGTGGGTCAAAAACATTTTTTATCAGTCAAGACAGAAATTTAAGAGAAGCAAAGGATGTGGGTATGGTGCTGCCAGCAGGTCAACCTGTACCTGCGGGGCAAGTGCATCAGCAGCCTGATGTTGCCTTCAGGCTTCCTGATACCCAAAAATTGCCACTGTGCCTTCGACTGGACCCTAACAATTTGGGGCCAAGTTTACCAAGAAATAGGAATGTGGGAGACACACCCACAAACCACCTCCAACTCAGCTATACAAGCTCATTTATTGGCCTTATTTCAGTGACACGCAGATAAATCTCGAAAGAGATCAAAAGCCACAGTTAATCTCAGACCTGCACATGGCTGATCAGAACAGGGTAAGTCAGAAGCGGGCAGGTTGGCCTGGTGCCTGCCCAAGCAAAGCTCCCAGCAGCCACTTGCCCCCAGAATCCAAAATCGCTGCTGCTATACCCCCAGCCAGGCTCTACCATCTCAGGACAGACCTCACCAAGATACAATCTGCTAAAAATTCTGGTATGCAGTTTTTGTGACTGAAATCTCCAGGCTTTCTCAGGACTGGGATGGGCTACCTTCCCACACCTCCCTGAACTTCCAGAAGCCTCGGCAGTCACATCCACACCCCAAAGTGACCACCCAACTGAAAAGCTACTCCAGCCTTAACATCCCCATAAAAATACTGAATGCCCTGAAGAAACACCATGACCTCTTAGCACCTGTATTGCAAACTATAATGCACAAAAGGAAAAGGAGAGAGAAAGCAAGAAGCAAAGTACCTCCCATAGAGGGAGGCTGGGGGTGGAGGGGTGAGGTTTGGGGCGAGAAGGTAGTGAAATAGGGGTCATTGGTGGTGGGAAATGCACACTGGTGGAGGGATGGGTGCTGGATCATTGTATGACTGAAACCCAATTATGAACAGCTTTGTAATGGTCTATCTCACGGATATTCAATTTAAAAAAAATTTTTTTTAAAGTAATGTGGAGTTCATACCCAAGTCAATCAGCTTAATCAATGACTAAATAAATAGCAGTACTCCTACATTAAATTTTAAAAATAAATAAAATAAAATAAGCAAAGGAAACAACAAACACCTTGAATTCTAGTTGAAGCTGCCGTTGAAGGTCACTCACTTCTGTGGTCAGCTTGTTTTTTAGTTCCAACAAATCTTTGACTTCTGATGAAGAATTAGAAGCCTGAAATGCATTGCAAAAGATGCCCACAGTTAAGTGATGGAGACACTTTATTTTTAATTCTTTCCCCAAATATAATTAGTGTTAAGAACAAATATCTCAAGATCCAATTCTAAAGTAGGTTCTGACTTCACACACAGAGTTTATCTTCACACACTGCCCACCGATGTCCAAGACCTCAGGGAACTCAATTTTAATGCCTTGATCACCATCACACAAATTATCTGATCAAATATCTTAGCACTAACTCCGTGAGACTAAAACTTCCATAGGTAGCAAGTTTGTTGCAAGTCTTGAATCTGAATATTGTAACACAGGTTTAATTTCTGTTAAACAAACTCTTAAGAAATTTAATCCCACAAGCTATAAAAATGTGATCTAGATAATAAATCATGCTCAAATAGGGATGTTTCCAAGAAGTAAAATAGCTTTTTAATTATTATTTCTCCATAATAAAGATTTGAACAGAAGTCAATTGTCAACAAAAGATCAACAATAAAATATTTTTTGTGAGTTAGGAATATACATCCACTTTTTTTTTTTTTGGAATGGCAGAACACATCAGTTTAGCCTCAGTTTATTAGGTAACTTGGGAATTACTACAAAGAAAGGCCATCTTTTACAGCCCCTTTTCTACAAAACCTAACATGGTTCTACACTTAGTCAACCTTAATAACTGACTGCTGGTTGTTAGAATTCTGGTTGCAAATAAGAGTAATTAATATCAGATTTACCATTTTTGGTAAAAACTATGAAAGTGAGATAAGACACCTGAGACACTCGTGCGGCAGGCATTAAGAACAACCAATACAGGGTCATCAGAACATAAAGAAGAAATAGGAGTCAGCCCTACACTAGTTTGAACTTTCACTAGTCACATTTCAAAGTCCAAACAATGTAATTAGGAAGGTGAAAATGAACACAATCATGAAATGCCATAATACCACATAGATGGTCAAAATACAAACCCCGGGCTGGAGAGATAATTCAAAAGGCTAAGCACATGCTTTGTATGCAGGAGGTCTACACCACATAATCTACCAAACACCAGAGGCAACCTCTGAGTACAGAGCTGGGAGAGCACACTCCACCTCACCCAACACTGATGGATGTGGGGGAAAAAATTGTCCAAACTAGGAAGCAAACAAGACACCCTTCAGTTGGTGAAGGGATAGTTAAAATGGTGGTTTGGGGCTAGGAGAGACAGTATAGTGGGTTAGGTACTTGCTTTGCACCCACCAGACCCAGGTTTAACCCACCCCCCCCCCCCGAACCACATATGATCCCCCAGAGCCCCACCAGAGTGATCCCGGAGCACAGCCGAGTCAGGAGAATGCACCAAGTACATCCAAGTGTGGACAGGTAAAAAAAAAAAAATGAACACAACTGTAGTTCATTAAAACACTAGACTATATAAATCTGCAACGAAGAAATGAACTATCAAGCTAGGAAAACAACCGGGTAAACCTAAATACATTTCACTGCAAGGAGAAAGAAAAAAAAATACTAGGGGCTACAGTAAAGAAAATTCTTCAAGTCAGAAGAAAATCGAACTATTTGGACATGGAAATATAGAAAAAAACAAATACCGGGGGGCTGGAGTGATAGCACAGAAAATAGGGCACTTGCCTTGCATGCGGTCAACCCAAGTTCTATTCCCAGCATCCCATGTGGTCTCCCGAGCACTGCCAGGAGTAATTCCTGAGTGCAGAGCCAGGAGTAACCCCCGAGCATCACCAGGTGTGACTCAAAAAGAAAAAAGAAAAAAAAGACAAATACTGGAAAGATAGCTCTAAGAGAAAGATGAACAAGACCACGGGCTGGGCCGAAGAGATAACCCGGACGTCCTCTGCACTGCATGCAGCAAACATGGGAGCAGACCCCACAAACAGAGTCAGGAGTAGCCCCCAACCACACCCTTGGATCTGGCCCCCAAACCGGAACCGAAATCTAAAGGGAAAAGAAAAAAAGATGTACCCAGTCTTTATTAAAGAACATTTCTGGAGATGTTGATGTTGAAATAAATGAGAAGGTTCATATTTATAAACAGAAATATCAAAAGTGTTAAAAATATTAGTTGTACCCCAATTAACCTAATGCACTCAACTCCATCAAAATACCTGCGGGCTGTCTGCACTCATACACGGAAACTGACAAACTGGTTCTGAGGTTCACATGGGAAAACAAAGACATAAAACAGCCCCAGCAAGCTCGGAGGAAAATAAAGTTGGAGGAAATACAATACCAGACTTAAGGTTTACTATACAGTTAAACTGAAAGTATGGTGCAGGTATAGGAGACAGCCTGGCCCGTGGAACAGAACTAAGAGTCTAAGCGTGAGAGAGAATATATATTACAAGTGAAATCACAAGCTGTCTGGAAAATCAGTTGGCCATACTTAAAAATTAAACATATGCCTATTTTTATCCCCAGTTACATGCCCAAAAGGAATGAATAACCTTACCCATAAAAATGTTCACGGCATCTGTTTTTAATCGCCCCAAACTGCAAAAGTCTATCAAGAATATATACTACATTATACTGGCCAAGAGAGACAGTCAGGGAGGTCATGCGGAATTAGGCCTGATCTGGCCACACGCAGTCTCCACCAGTCCCGAGTGGGAGCAAGGAGTAGCCTGAGGCTAAGGGCTCTCGAAGTCTTCTTCCACTCCTCAAACAGGCATTATATTATACTGACACAACAGAGAACACCTGAGGCTGGCAACATTGATGAGTATCACTGACATAGTATTGAGAAAATGAAACTAGAAATGGAGGAATGAATATCACAGGCATTATTACATAAAACTCAAAAATACAAAATTAATTTTATGGGATAGAAGCTAGAACACAAGGGGCTGGAGCGACATGACAGCAGGTAGGACATTTGCCTTGCACAGGAACAACTCAGTTTTGATCCCCAGCATCCCATATGGTCCCCTGAGCACTGCCAGGAGTGACTCCTCTGTGCAGACCAAGGAGGAAGCCCTGAGCATTGCCAGGTGTGGCCCCAAAACTAAATATTAGTTAATTTAATTTAATTTTGTTTAAGCTATGATCATCTTAGGGGGTGTGATTAACTGGTGAGGAGCATAAAGAAACTGAAGACTAGGGGCAGGGCTCAATTTTTGTAAGCCACACCTGGAGTATATGGCAGCTACTCCAGCTCAGACTCTGGGATGATCCCCAGTGATGTTCTGGAGCCCAGGTGGTGCTAGGGATCAAACTCAGGCCAGGTATGCCAGGTCCCCACTCCAGCCCCTAGAGCTCTGTCCTACATCCAGCTCCTTCTCTAACTGAAAAAAACCCAATTCCCAAGTGGTTTTATATAATAATTTAACAAACAGATTCCTTTCAAAAAAAGAACTAAACCATCACTCCACAGCTTCCTTTACCTTCCACCAATGCCAGTGGGCTTCCCACACTACTCCCCCCAACCCCACAGTCTACATTCACTTATTCTTTTCTCTGAAGTTCCAGAGCTTGAAACCAAGCTCGTTCACACTCACCTTCCAAATTTCCCTATAATAATGATAATATTCTCTTCTATCAGACCATGTGGTAGCAAACACCCTTACCTTTTCCTTTCTAAATTGTATTACCTATGTGTTTCATTGCTATGTACATTTGGGGAGAGGGTTCAACCCAGGACTTTGAACCTATACGTGCAAACGCAAGTGCTCCCTCCCAACACTCGAAACTAAGCTCTCTATAGCACTCTTACAGTTTCTATTTTTGCAATGCCAGAGGCTGAACCCAGGACTCATACATGCAAAAGTATGCACTTAACCACTGAACCATACCCTGGTCATCATTGTATATATAATATTTAAAAGTATCTTGAAACATTCATCATAAAAGGTGGAAAATTAATAATATGTGGGGCCAAAGAGATAGCGCAGCTATCAAGGTAAGGAGCTTGCCTTGCACACAGCCAAATTGGGTTCAATTCCTGGCACCCCATGCTTCCCCAAGCTCTGCGCCAAGAGTGATCATGAGTGCAGACAGTACTAGAGGGAAGCCCCGAGCACTGCAAATATGGTCCTCCCCTAGAGAAATACTTAAATATGTTTAAATATGACCCTCTGCTGAATGTACAGCTCCCTGATGAGAAAACATCCCACTAACTGGTATAAAGATATACAGATTTGGTGCCACATTTCTATAAAAGTACAAAAATTCCATTACCTGATGATTCCCTTGTGTTTTCTCTGATGCACGAGACTTTAAAGTCTGGATTTTCTCAAAGATCAAGTTGACTTTCCTTTTAGTAGCATCGTCATTGTCAGAGCTTCTGAAAGAGGCAGAAATCTTTTAAATGAGGGCTTCAATCGACCACTGGTGCCCAGAGATTATGTACGCTCTGATTTCTATACAACAAGCACTTGAAGAGGCACAAATCAGGACTACAGACACACATAGCATGAGGAGAGAGGAACCAGTTGTGTATTTTTCTTCAAATCAATTGCTCTATATCACCCACCATTCAATCTGGGACAGTTGATTTCCAAAATGGATCCTGGAAATAGTTGGTCACATTCTAAATAAGTCATTGCTGTCTGGTTTAAGTTACTGACATTCAAACCAACAAAATAAATCTCTTACCCTTTCTCTTCTTATCACATATTTTATTTTTAAAGCTTCTATTAAGAATAATCTGCAAGGGGAGCTGGAGCAATAGCACAGTGGGGAGGGTATTTTCCTTGCATGCAGCTGACTAGGGTTCGATCCCTGGCAACCCATGATTCACCATCAGCAGTGATTCTTGAGTGCAGAGTCAGAAGAAAAAAAAAAGAAAAAGAAAAAGAATCTGCAGGGCTGGAGAAATGGTGCAAAGCTGTGCAGGATCTACAGATCTGAGAGTGTACCATCCCCTTCCATACCCCTCCAGTACCTCAGGGAATGTCCCAAATACCCCCCCTACTCCCCATCCCCTACCTCCCCCCAACACACACACCAAAAGGACGATCTTCAATGATCTGATGATCTGAACTTGGTCTGCCTGTTTACAAACACAAATCTCCTTAGTTAACCCAGCATGGCCATTTGTCTTATATGATACTCAAACCGTGGTGTATTCGATATGCCAAAAAACAGTAACAAGTCTCACAATAGATACGTTACTCCAGCACATTGCTCCAGCAAATCAATGAACAACGGGAGGACAGTGCTACAGTAAGTTTTCCTAAACAAGCACCTTCTGTTTCACGTGACTAAATGAGGGCATACATGCATGTGCGTATGCACATACACACATACCACCACCACCACCACCACCACCACCACCACCACCACCACATAACTTTAGAGAAAAGAATTTAAAAATACAAAGTTCTACTTTCATCAAATATGGGAAAAACCTTGAAAGAGAGACTGAAAGAGTTCTTTAAAAGAAATCTCCCTGGGGGCTGGAGCGATAACACAGCATTTGCCTTGCAAGAGGCCAACCTGGGTTGATTCCCAGCATCCCATATGGTTCCCTGAGCACCACCAGGAGTAATTCCTGAGTGCAGAGTAATCCCTGTGTATCTCTGGGTGTGACCCAAGAGCAGAAAACAAAAAAACAAACAAACAAAAAAGATTCTCCCTGGTTACTTGTTTTGACCCTATTTTTTATCTTTTTACCCTATTTTGTCAGCTCCACATTTCTGATGCATCACTATAAGACACAATACAAAAGGTGTAGTATTTTGATACCACAGAGTATATGCCAAGTCATGCCAGGCCATAAAGATTTCCTTCTTCTTAATCACAGCTGATGAGAGAACTGAAACAGAAACTTCACATTCCTGGCCTATTCCAGAGCAGTTAGTATCTAAGTCAGACCAGAAAACCAGATTACTCAAACTTCACCTCCAAGATAAGATGTGTGGAATGTGGTGCTTTGAAATGACTCACATTTGCTTTAGAAAGAAAAAAGCAGGGGGTTTCTGGCCAATGCCAGCTCCTGTGTTGTTTGTAACTTCTAGGGAGGGAGGGTTGATGAGCCCTGTGTGCAGGACAAAACTTAAGGTGAGGGCAGTATGAATTCCCCACTAAATGCTTTCCTTAGGTTCAGTTTTTTATCAAACAGATTAAGGTCACTTGAAAAATACACTCATGTGAAATGGTTCAACTGTGATATCCCCTCCCAGTTCCTCACCTCCCATGGCCAGGCCTGATATGCTCTCATAAAATCCCAGTGAGGCTTTGTGAAATTTATGTTGAAGTTTTTGAGATGTCAGGGAATCAGACCATATATCATGCAAGACATGTGCGCTCTCTCGCTCTCTGTCTCTGTCTCTGTCTCTGTCTCTGTCTCTGTCTCTCTCTCTCTCTCTCTGTCTGTGTGTGTCTGTCTATCTCTCTGTCCCTCTCTCTCTCTCTCTCTCTCTCTCTCTCTCTCTCTCTCTCTCTCACACACACACACACACACACACACACGGATCACACAGGGCAGGAAGAGAGGGCACAGAAGGAAATAATGGCCCCCACCCACCATAAATGCCAACACTTTGCTCTTTTAAGGATAATCACTGACCCTTCTCTGAGGTAATTGTACAGTATCTGCTTGGCCGTCTCTTCATTGCTTTGCTGAGTAAGTTCCTGCTGACCTTTTAATAGATCCGGTGTGACCTAGAACATAAGATATGGCATTAGACCACAGGCTAAAGCTTCCAGGATCTTCCTGGGGAAAAAAAAAAAACTCTGAACAGAAACTTCCAAACACAGTTCTCCTTTTCCCAGACTCTCTCTCAGATAAGGGTTCCTATTCCGCCTGGCTCCACTCCCTAGAAGCACTGCAACTTCCAGCCAGGACTTGGCCTCTGCTCACCTACTGCTCACCTGTAAATGGCAGTTAATAAACACCACCAGCCTTCCTGCCACTGGCGCAATCCCGGAACAGCTAACAAATGGTGTCCAGCACTTATTATCATTTTTATCATTGTCATTACTTTTTATTGTTGTGAGCAAAACACTAAACATGTTACTTAAATTTCATTAGTTTGGAACTAATCTAAATTGGGATCAAAATAATTTCTCAGGCTAGAAATTAACCCCATTGCCTCCAAAAATCAAGAAGACAATAAACAGATCAAAAGTTCAGGTTCCAGAAGCTCTAAGTGTAAATGATGCAGGCAGGTAGATAGGGAAAGGCCCTGGACAATGAAACAGGTCAGAAAAAGTTGTAAGAGGAAAACTCCAAGGCTGATCCACTTTGTAGATACAGATAAGACCTTGAGCAGCAGACCCTGAGAAGATTGGACCCCACCTCATGAGGGAAATTCCTCGAATTCCCTCGACCTCTCCTTCTATCTGATTAACTTTAGTGACTCAGCCCAAAGAAGACCATCACCACTCCCAACCTCCCTGGTAACCTCCTTAGCAATGGACTTTTACCTGGAAAGAAGCCCCACGTGGGGGCAGGTTGGAGAAACCCTATAAAGAACACCTTGAACAAAGGAAGTGGGTGCATATGCTGCCAGAGCCCATGTGCTGCTTGTGCCCACGTGGCCGAGCACATGTGGTGCCCGAACACATGTGTTGTCCACATCTCCCCTCTTGAGATGCATACTTTCATGTTTTCGTGTCTCATGCTAGGATGTGTGTGGGGGAGATGCCCATGTTTTCTCTCTTGAGTGCATTTCTCTCTCTCTTTCTCTCTCTCTCTCCCTCTCTCCCCCCATCCAGACCTTAAAAAACCCTCCAAATAAAATCTATTTATTTCACTGCTTGTCTACTCCTGAAATTCTTTTCTGGGAGGTGAGACAAGAACCCAGTAACCCTGGGTCCCATGTGGCAGAGGTGGTTGGGGAAAAAGTGACCATCTTTCTCCTCCCCGCTTCACATAAGTCACCTATGGGGCCGACCGACATCAGAAACAAAGTCTGTAGGCTAGAGAGTTTTGTACATAGAAGAAAAATAGGAGTCATGTGGGGCTTAAAGGCCTAGAGCACTTACGGGAGCTCTGGGTTCATCTCTGGCCTGACACGGTTCCCTGTACAGAGCTGGGAGAAGCACCACTGGGTTTCTCCACCCCCTCCAAGGAAGGAAGCTCTTACAGTATTTGACAAACTTCTCAGACAAAGGGAATCTAGCTCTACTTAAATTAGCTCGAAAACACCATGCAACTGAACATAACTATCTGTAGGGGGAAGCACTGTAGCACTGTCCTCCTGTTGTTCATCTATTTGCTCGAGCGGGCACAGTAACATCTCACAACAAATTGTAAGACTTGTTACTGTTTTTGGCATATCGAATATGTCAGGAGTAGCTTGCCAGGCTTTGCCAGGCTTTTCTGTATGGGGAAAATTCTTTTAAAAATGTGGATGTGTAGGGCTGGAGAGACAGTACAGCAGGTGCGATGCTTGCCTTGGTGGGGCTGACCCGAGTTCCATCCCTGTTATCCCAGACAGTCTCCCAAGCACTGCCAGGTGTAATTCCTGAGTGCAGAGCAGGAATAACCCCTGAGCATCGCCAGGTGTGGTGCCAAACCAAAAAAAGAAACAAATAATTAAATCTGGATGAGGGGCCAAAGAGATAGTACAGTGGTTTGGGTGGAAGTCTTGCAGTTTCCATCTCTGGCACCATATATGGTACCCTGAGGGCTACCAGGAAAGATCTCCGAGTGCAGAGACAGGAGTGAACCCTGAGCACCGCTGGGGGTGACCCATGGTCTCTCCCCCCAAAACTCTCCCCCCAAAAAAGTAACAAAAACACATTTTTACCTGAACGTTTGAGGCTGTGGAGAAGGACTTAAGCGAAATCTTCTTGGCCCCCGAGTCAGCAGCCGTGGCGAGTCCACGGTTCTGCAGCAGCAGAGTGGCCGTGGCTGTCTTGACGTCCTCCTCCTTGGAGTCTGCGGCCGGGTCAGGCGCAGCGGCCCGGGGACCCTGCGGCCTGGTGGTGGGCGCGCGGGGCCGGGTCCGGTACTCGGGCACCTGCGGCCGCGGCGGGCACACCTGCGACGGGCGCAGCAGGTGCTCACTGGACTTGCCCAGGTGGCGCGTGAACTCGCTCAGGTACTCGGCGCTGCCGCGCAGCCCAAAGGGGAAGGCGCTGTCCACGCTGCGCGCGCGCCGGCGATCCTCAGGGGCCAGGCGGGGCCGCTTGCCGCTGCGGCCCCGGCGCGGCCCGGCCCGGGGCTCGAACAGCTCGATGAGCTGCTCGACGCCGCCGAGGGAGCCCGTGTCGACGTCGCGGCCGGTGCCCGGCAGGAAGGGGATGTACCTGCGGTTCTCGTGGCGGTTGACGCGGTCCGGCTCGCCTAGCAGGAGGCGCTGGGGCGCGCGGGCCGCGGGTGGCGAGGGGCCGGGAGGCGTGGGGCCTGCCCACGCGGGACGCGGCTCCGGCGCGGGCCCCGGGTCCTGGCGCCGCAGCGGGAGCACGTCGGGGCTGGCGGGGCCGCAGCCCGGGGCCTCAGGGGCCTCGGGGGCCTCGGCGACCACCGCACCGCGGGGCGCATCCTTCGGGGCCTGGCGGCCCTCTCCCGGGGGCGCTCGTGGCCAGGTGCTTGCGGGAGGCTGCGGGCCCGGCTTCTCCGGGCCAGGAGGCTGCGGTGCCTCGGGGGGCAGCTGGCAGTGCGGTACGTGGCTGGGCTTCGCCGTTGCGTCCTTGCGCTCCGTGCCCAACGCGCCAGTCCTGCCTTCCAAGGCGTGGGGCTCTCGCGGGGGCCCGCTGGGGCTGGGGTCAGCATAGGGGTTCTCCGGGAACTGCAGCTCCTCCTCGCGGGGCTCGTCGGGTGCGGGGACGCTGCCGGGGGACCCCGGGGCCTGCTCTGAGGGGCGCCGGCCCGCCGGGCAGCGCTCGGCGTTGTTGAGCACGATGTAGGGGTGCCCGTCGATGCCCTGCACCCGGATGCTGACGCCGTAGGAGCCCATCCTCGGCGGCGGGGCGCTGCGGGGCGCGGGCCCGTCCCGTGCCAGCCTCAGGTGCACCCCGCACTCCTGCCGCGCGTGCCGGTACTCCCCGAAGAACAGCTCCATGCTCCTGCCCGGGCGGGAGAGGACACGTTAGGGGGGCTCAGAGGACACGCAAGGACCCTTCGGAAGCACGTGCCAGTACTCCCAGAGGTACAGCTCCATGCTCCTGCCCCGGCGGGCGAGGACGCGTTAGGGAGGCTCAGAGGACACGCAAGGACCCTTCGGAAGCACGTGCCAGTACTCCCGGAGGTACAGCTCCATGCTCCTGCCCCGGCGGGCGAGGACGCGTTAGGGGGGCTCAGAGGACACGCAAGGACCCTTCGGAAGCACGTGCCAGTACTCCCGGAGGTACAGCTCCATGCTCCTGCCCCGGCGGGCGAGGACGCGTTAGGGGGGCTCAGAGGAAGCAGCAGGGGGGCCGCAAGGACCCTTCGGAAGCGCGCACGTGCCCCAAAAGCCCGCGTGACCTGCTGCTGGTCCACCGTGGGCCTGAACCCCGCCCGAGTCGGGCTGAGCAAGATTCCTTTCAGGATTCCGTGTCTAGCTAATGGGCTTTGCTGGTCGCTTTGTTTTTTCCTTCCTTGGTTTCCTCACACATGAAGCTATTTATTTTTAACCAATAGGACGTCCGAGTTCCCAGCTTTTGAGAACAAGGTGCGGTACTTTTCCATGAAAATAATCACGAGCTAAGGCTCTTAAATAATTAATGCTCACCGTTGGTTTCTTTCCCCCCTATACTATTAATTTTCCTGCCAAAACACTTTCGACCTTTTAAATGCAGAATCCTGTGTGAAAATCTTGACTGTGGCTTATTTGGACAGAGGTTAAACTTTTTTTTTTTCCACTTGAAAAAAAAATCAGCTGTTAGTGGACCCAACCACATGAGTAAATGATTTTTTAAAACAAATCTTTGGGGCCAGGGAGCCAGCTCAAAGGGCTGAGTGTATCATTTTGCATGCAGGAGGCTTGGGTTCAATCCCTCGTGAGCATGGCAGGAGCAACCCCCTAGCAAGGAGTCAGGTATTTTAATAAAATTCAACTAAAAGTCCCGACTATTTCCTTGCCCAGAAAGCTCAAGTAACATATTGACCTTGAAAATATTATTTGAAAACTAGGGACTTGGACTAGAAAAAAAGTACAGCAAATAAGGTGCTTGTCCTGCACATGGCCAGCAGGGTTGAGTCCCAGGAGCTGTGTATCAGCCTTTAGCCAGGAGTGAGCACAGACCACAGCTGGGTGTGGCCCAAACACCAAAAAAATCAATTAATTTTTATTGCCAGATAGTACAGAAGGGAGGGGGTTTGCCTTGCATGCAGCTGACCCAGTTTCTATCCCCAGCATTTCACAAGGTCCTCCAAGAACTGCCAGAAGCGACTGCTGAATGCAGAACCAGAACCCTGAACATCACTGCATATAGCCCCAAACCAAAAACAAAACCAAAAAAGGGGGTGGGGGGAGAGAATAAAACCTAAAAAATGTTTTTCATTAATTTTAAAAACCCTGTAGGATCCCAAGATAGTCTCCAGGCTCTTTATTTTGCAAAGGGCCCCAGTGCTGAGATTTACTCAATCCCTTTTCCTGGCATTGAGAGCCCTTGGCTGAGATTGTCTGAAACTTCCATCAGGCACTGCAGCCAATGTGCCCCACACTCGGAGGCTTTCCTCACTAGAAACTGACTTTCATAGCTCAGAAAGCCTCCAAGAGTCGAGGGACCAGAGCGATAGATGGTACAGTGGGTAAGGCACCTTCCAAGCACACTCCGACTGGTACCCATAGGGTCTCCTAAGCACTGCTAGGAATGATCCCTGAGCACTGAGCCAGGAGTATGGCCCAAAAACAAAAAGAAAAAGAAAACTTAAAGAACTCAAGAACAACCAGAAAAAGGCACATGCTATTGACATAAGGCCACAGCGCTCTCCTTCCTCCCGAGTTATTGCCAGATAGTACAGAAGGGAGGGATTTCTCTGAACTCCCAATCATCTCTGTAGTCAACCTGGTGGCCTATCTTCCTACAAAATAATCGATCTGATTCACATTTTCAAATGTATTTGCAGTTTTGCAAAGAATATTATTTCACTTCGCATTCGCGGACGCATGACATCTTTTTATCTCATTCTTACTTTGGACAAACTGGCAGGCTACTGAATGTAACCTGCCCACACGGCAGTGTCTGGCAAACTCCCCATGGTGTACCCAATATGCCAAATACCAGTAACAATGATGGGTCTCATTCTCCTAAACCTGAAAGATCCTTGAATATGGCACTTTTTAAAAAAAAAAGTCTCAGGGCTAGGACGAAGGAGACATTACTGGGGCTTGCTCAAGGCAATCGACGAACAACAGGCTGGTCGTGATCATCGTTGTGATTATTTCACTTCCTCTATACCTATTTCTCAGTGTCTGATTTCAATTTGTGCTTTCTGTACTATATATAATTATCCTGGTAAATTATGTCTATTTTTAAGAAACGGTCGTTTCCCTAAAGAACTCAGATTTATGAATCATATTTTTAATTTTGAGTTGCTTGAGTCTTAGGTCGATCTTCATTACTTTCTTCTGCTCTCCTTTATTTTATTTCATACCTCTGTTTCCAATTTCTCGGTTTGCATGTCTCATTTGCTTCTTTCCATTCTTTAATAACCCCCCCATAGATGCATTCTTTACTATATTACTTTAATATCCCACAAGTTGTCATTAAATGGCAGTGTCATTTAAGAATTCTATTTCCATGTGTGGATGCCACAGGGAGTCCACCTCCAGTAACCTCTGCGGCCAAGATGTACAATGATTCACAGCCAAAGGACCGCAGATCCATACAAGCACCACAATGGGTCAGCACTTGGGCGGAGTCCCCCCACAACAAGTGAAAGGCAGAGAAGGGTTGTGTCGGGATCAGGCTGTGGCTCAGGCGGTAGAGATCATGTCCAGTGTGAGTCCGGCCCCAGCTTCCACCCCAGGCCCCAGATGCACTCTCTACCACCCCTGATGCCCCAGGGATAGGCCCGCTGGCCCGGAGCACCCAACCTCTGATTTTTAAAAGTATTACTCCATTATTTTCTAGCTTCTCTGTGATGCCATGAAACTTTCTTGGGCTGGAGAGATAAGGCCGTGGGGAAGGCACTTGCCTTGCATGTGGCCAACCCAAGTTTGATTCCTTGCCCAATATATAAGCCTCGCCAAAAGTGATCCTGAGACACATAGAGGTTTGGTGCCTCCCCTGCCCCAAAAACAGAAAAAGAAAAATTCTTCTATTGTGCCAGAAAGTCCAGGTTAAAGGCTTGCATGCAGGTTCGATCCCTGGCACTGCATAGGGTCCCCCAAGCACCTCCAGGAATAATTCCTGAGCACTTACAGGTATAGCCCCCCCAAAAATTATAATAATTTTGCTGGTATAATGTCCTTTCGTGTGTGTGTATGTGCATGTGTATGTGTGAGTGTATCTGTGTGTATGTGTGCATGTACGTAGGTACACACCCTACTTTTGTAGGTTTTTAGGATCTTCTTTCTCTGTCGTTCTGAAATTTCACAGTGGCACAGTCCAGAAAGGGTATTTTTCTAAGTATCTGAGTACTTTTATAGAATATAAGCACTTAATATGGTCCTGTAGTTTGGAAATTCCTAACTTTAGTTCTAGAAAATGTTCTTTTATTATTTCTGTGATAATGTTTAAAGAACAATTTTGTTCTTGGTTTTTTCCTCTAACCTATTAGCAATGTTTAATTTTCCAGACCAAACTTCATTTTTTTATCTTTCTTTTCCCACTGACATTTTAACTTTTTTCTTACTCTTTCTTGGAGAAATCCAGCCTCAGTGTTTCTTTTCTTCTCTTCTTTGCCATACCCAGTGCTGCTCAGGGCTTGCTCCTGGCTCTGCACTCAGGGATCACTCCTAACAGTGCTTTGGGAATCATTTGTAGTGCCAGGGCCTGAACCCAGGCCAGCCGTGCGCCAGGCAAATACCCTTGACTGTAATATCCCTCCCCTTTAACTTAAGAAAAATATTTCATTTGTGCTTTCTGCTTTCTCTACCTTACTGTTTCTCTCATAAATGCTATTCATACTTTAGGCATAAAATTGCTTCTCTGAGAATCCTGACTTTCTTTTCTCCCAAAAGTACACTGTTCTGCTCTCTACATCTCCAGCTTCTGCAAGTCCTTATCTCTGCCTTGCTTTTTATCTTTCATTGTTGGAAGCTTCATTCAAGGGTTCAGACCCTTGGCTGCAGGATCCTGCTTAAGTAAATAAAGGATAAGAGCTGGCTGGAGTCTGCATGTGTGAGGGGACTTGGTGGTTGATGAATGTCAAGTAAGTCACGTGGGAGGCAGAGGCCTGGTGTCCTGCAGGGGAGCCTCACACCTCAGTAAGCAGGCGCCCCTTCGGAGGAGCTGTTTCATTTCTCGGGAATAGTCCTCCAGGCCAGTGTCTGGCTCCTGGCCATACGGGGCAGAGCAGGGCAGCAGCTCCAGGCTCTCATTCGATCCCCACTTTCAGTCACCCTCACCCACTTCCTGCATCACTGCTCGTCCTCTCAAGAGCCCAGACCCCCCAGCAGGCTGCTGAGCTGGGAAGGGGTAGGGGCAAGGCAGAGAAGGTGGCACCAGATATCCAGAGCACAGAGGGGGCTGTGTGCCCCAGCATGCGGGAGGATGGGGCGCTACTGTGTCTGCTATGTTCAGGGGCCCGAGCCTGCTGGTGCTCAAGGTACCATGCACTGCTGGGGATGGGACTGGGGCCTCCACCTGCCACACACGCTCACGCGCTCTGATCGGCCCCACTTCCCAGCCACTTCGGGCTTCCTCTCTCCTGCGGGTGTAGCCTCAAGGTGCCGGCACTGCTAAGGCAGTGACCACTCTTCTACTTGCCTCCAGCTCTCCTCCAGCCTCCCTCCATTCTGTCTGAATAAATTCGAACATTGCTATTCCTTTATTGTCTGAAAACCATCAACACGACATTCAAACGTCTCTAACTTGAGGAGGTTGAGAGTTTATGTGAAATACTTCACTACTAAAGGCAAGCATCAGCTGATGAGCCTTCAACTGAGGAAGCAACACACAGCTGCCAAGTATTT